CAAGGAGATTAAGATAATCTAATCGTTTCTGAATCAACTCAGATTCTTCCAATTCTGCTTCAACTAGAATCCTCAAAGATGGTATCTCAACTTCAATTGGTAAAACTGCCTCCATACCATAAACCAAAGAATAAGGTGTTGCTCCAGTAGAAGTTCGAACAGATGTTCTATAAGCATGGAGTGCAAAAGGTAGCATTTCATGCCAATCCTTGTAAGTTACCGTCATCTTTGCAAGGATCTTCTTGATATTTTTGTTTGCAGCTTCCACAGCTCCATTCATCTTAGGCCGATATGGTGTGGAATTTAAATGTTGAATCCTGTGCTGCTTACAAATTGATGCCATCAAAGAATTATTAAGATTCTTTGCATTATCAGTGATGATTGTTTCTGGTTGACCATATCTGCAAATGATCTCCCTTTGAATAAACCGTGCCACCACTTTATTTTTCACATTTGCATATGAAGCAGCCTCTACCCATTTGGAAAAATAATCAATTGCAACCAGAATAAACTGATGACCATTTGAAGCTTTTGGATTAATGGGCCCAATAACGTCAATTCCCCACATAGAAAATGGCCAAGGAGTAACCATATTATGCAATGGAAATGGAGGAGCTTTAATCTGATCTGCATAGATTTGACATTTGTGACATTTCTTCACATAATCAATGCAATCTGTCTCCATCTTTAACCAGAAATATCCTGCTCTGAGTATCTTTCTAGCTAGCATATGCCCATTAGCATGAGTTCCACATATTCCTTCATGAACTTCCACCATGATTCTTTTTGCCTCGATAGCATCAACACATCTTAACAATGTCATATCTGCAGAGCGCTTGTATAAGGTGTCCCCACTCAAGAAGTAAGACCTGGCCATTCTTCGAATTGTCTTTTTATCAACATCAGTTACATGAACTGGATATCGATTATGTAAGATACATTGTTTGATGTCATAGTACCAAGGCTGGCCATCTATTTCTTGCCCAATCTCCATGCAATAAGCGGGGTTTTTATGTACATCAATCATAAGTGGTTGAATTTGATCTTCCTCTGATATTTGCACCATGGAAGCCAAAGTTGCTAAGGCATCTGCAAATTGATTCTTTGATCGAGGCATGTATTCAAAAGAGATAAATCTGAATTTCTTAGTTTGAGAATCAAGGTATTGGTAATAAGGCAATAACTTCATGTCTTTTGTCTTCCATTCTCCCTTGATTTGAAATATGATTAGGGCTGAATCTCCATAAACTTCAAGATCCCTAATATTCATATCAAGAGCTGCTTGTAGACCCAAGATGCAAGCTTCATATTCAGTGATGTTATTGGTGCAGGAAAAATCAAGCTTCACTGCAAACGGAAAATGTTCTCCTTTAGGTGAGACGAGAACTGCCCCCACTCCACTTCCATTTTGATTAGCAGCTCCATCAAAATACATCTTCCAATTAGAAGTTTCATAATTACTTTCCTCAATTGCCATGACATCCTCATCAGGAAACTCCCAATCAACTAGTTGATAATCTTCAACTGCATTCTCTGCAAGATGATCTGCAATGACTTGACCTTTTACTGCCTTTTGAGTCATGTAAATAATCTCAAATTCCGATAACAACATGTGCCATCGAGCAATTCTTCCAGATAAAGAAGGTTTCTCAAATATATATTTGATGGGATCCATTCGAGATATTAGCCATGTAGTATTGGAAAGCATATAATGACGAAGCTTCTTAGCAATCCAAGCCAATGCGCAACATGTCTTCTCCAAAGATGAATATCTACTTTCACAATCATTGAACTTTTTGCTAATATAATAAATAGCCTGCTCCCTTCTGCCAGAATCATCATGTTGAGCCAAAACAGCCCCCATAGAACCTTCCAGCACAGTTATATAGAGAATCAATGGTCTTCCATCCACTGGCGGCACAAGAATTGGCGGACTTTTCAAATACTGCTTAATTCTGTCAAAAGCTTCTTGGCATTGATCATCCCATACACCAGGATTATTCTTCTTTAACAATCGGAAGATTGGATCACAAATAGTTGTCATTTGGGCAATGAATCTACTAATATAGTTCAGCCTACCCAAGAAACTACGCACCTCTTTCTGTGTTTTTGGTGGAGGCATATCTTCAATAGCTTTGATCTTGGCAGGGTCTATTTCAATTCCTCTTCTACTAACAATAAACCCTAGGAGCTTGCCAGATGTTACCCCAAAAGTGCATTTTGTTGGATTGAGTCTCAGCTGATGCTTCCTTAATCTCTTAAACACGATTTTAAGATTCATCAAATGATCTTCATTTTCTCCAGACCTTATTATCATGTCATCTACATAAACCTCAATGATTTTGTGAATGAGGTCATGTAACAATGTAATCATTGCTCTTTGATAAGTTGCCCCCGCATTTTTCAATCCAAATGGCATTACCTTGTAGCAAAAGGTGCCCCACAAAGTGATAAACGTGGTTTTGATCTTGTCTTCCTCCTTTATCTTGATCTGATTATAAACAGAATAACCATCAACAAATGAAAATTTAACACTTTTGGCAGCATTGTCAACCAACAGTTGGATATGTGGCAAAGGAAAGTCATCTTTTGGGCTTGCTTTGTTCAGATCTCTATAATCCACACACATTCTGACTTTTCCGTCCTTCTTCGGCACAGGAACAATATTTGCAACCCATTGGGGGTACATGGTTACTTCGATGAACCCTGCATCTAACAGCTTCTTTACTTCCTCTTTGATTTTCAACAACATTTCTGGCTTCATTCTTCTCAACTTTTGCTTCACCGGTGGACATTCTGGCCTTAGTGGAATTGCATGAACTGTTATCTCCGAATCTAATCCAGGCATATCTTCATAAGACCAAGCAAACACATCTTGAAAATCTTTTAACAAGTCAACAAGAGCTTTTCTTTCATCTGGATGCAACTGCCCATTGATCTTAATCTCCTTTTTATCCTCATCTGTTCCCAAATTAACTGTTTCTACTTCAGATTGATTAGGCTGTAATTTCGGTTCTTCTTTCAACATGTCAGTCAATTCAGGAAAGGGTTCTAATTCTTCATCATTTTCCACAGAATAAATCGGTTCATCAAAACTATGTGTAAATTCAGGAATGATATCACTATTTGTAGATTTACTATCAGCAAACCTAGAGAAGGAAATTTTGGCTAGCATGAGAAATTGAATAAGCAAAAGGAAATGAATAGTTTTGCACACAAAGAGAGGGAATGAAAGTAACATTGTTTATTGAAATGAACAAAATGGGAACATTATTTGTCATGCCTACAATGCTTCATAAAATATAAAAGGCTTGTTTTAACCATCTCTTCTCATGGTCACAAGCTCAACCACAAGAAGATTGACACATCTTACGATTTAATGATAGGAACAGGAAGAATCTCTACTGTCCAGTTGTCCAAAGATTCACCCTGAGCAGGCAAAATGACATTGTCATCATCCCTCCCTTCATCAATGACGCATATGCTTAACGTCTCCAAAGAAGTGTTCAAACCATCATCATTTGTTGAAGCAAAAAACTTGAACAAATCAAAAGTTCCCATATCTTCATCATCTGATGCATCCTCTATGATCACTTCGTCCTTCAAATTCTCCTTTTTGAGAGTTTCATCCATTGGCTTTGCATCATATCCACACACAACTTCAGCAGGTTTTGGAAATGTCACCCGAATATGAGGAATATGCAATTTTTTCTCATTTGGTTCTCTTCCTTCTAACTTAGCTCGACGCCTTTCAGCTTTCCTAGTCCTCATCCACAACCAATCCTTCCAAGTGGGCTTATATCCTAAGCCAAACCCCATTGATGTATCAATCACCTCAATTGGTTCCTCAATTCCTTGCAGTCCAATTCCTAAGCCCTTTCCGACTTCAAAATGATTTTCCAACATTACCTTAGCCACTCCCTTACTCACTCTAGAAAGATCTGGTGTTCTCAACACTGTGCCTTCCGCAACGTATGTGGTTGAGACAAACTCCATGGAGTGGTAAGTTGCTTCTTGGCTCTGAGAGTCTGCTTCTACATATGGCACAGATGTTGCCTTATGGATAGCATAATCCTTTTCACCATTCACCGTAACCAAAGAGTTGCCTACAATATATTTCAGCTTTTGATGCAAAGTAGAAGGTACTGCACCAGCCATATGAATCCAAGGCCTTCCAAGCAACATATTAAATGCAGGCTCAATATTCATAACTTGAAAAGTTATGTCAAATGTATATGGGCCAACGTTGACTGGTAATTCAATCTCTCCATCTACCTCTTTCCTTGTGCCATCAAAAGCACGAACTACTATCTTACCAGGCTTAATGTATGACTGGTCCACCTGAAGCTGATTCAAAACTAATCGAGGAATAACATTCAACGCCGAACCATTATCAATAAGCACTCGTGGCACATGCATATCTTTACAAAGTACTGAAATATGAAAAGCCTTCACATGCCCTCTTCCATCTTCAGGGATTTCATCATCAGTAAAGTTGATAAAATTTGGTGCCAGGATAGTCCCTATCACATTGTTGAATTTTTCCATACCAATATCCTTTGGCACATGAGCCTCATTCAAGATCTTTAACAAAGCATTTCGATGAGTTTCTGATGCCAACAAGAGTTGCAAGATAGAGATCTTAGCAGGAGTACGATTAAGTTGCTCTACCACATTGTACTCACTTCTCTTCAAAATGCTAAGGAAATCATTTATCTCTTGCTCTGAAACATACTTCTTGACTTGCTCCTCATGTATTTCCTCAATAATGATTCCTTTTTGCGATTCATTCCCTTTGCAATGACTGTCTCCATAACTACGCCCACTTCTAGTCGTAAGAGCGATATCTTCAACAGGGGATTCCTATATGGAAACATAGGTACTAGTCCCATAATTCCAAGGGACAGCCTTATAAGAATTGAAGGCTGGTTTTGATGGTGGATAAAGAGTTAAGGGTGGTTGCTGAGAAGGTAAGGCTTGATTGCTTCCTTTCAAAATGAAAGGCTTCCTCGCACTTGTTGCAACAATTGGCCCCTTCAATATCAAAGGCTGTCTAGAAGTTGATGACAGTTGATTGGTAATGGTAAGTGCAGTCACCTCATGACCCCTATGAGAGTCTTTCTCAACATTCGAATCTTTCATTATCATATTTATTGTTGGACCATCATGTGTAGGCAAGGGATTTTTAGCAATGTTTGGGCCAACCACTTCTGGTTCTGATGCAATTTGCAACTCCTTTGCATCTATCAAATCCTGCACCCGGTGCCTTAAAGCTAGACAATTTTCAAGATCATGTCCAACACCTCCACTATGATATTCACATCTTGCCTGTGGGTTGTACCATGTTGGGAATGGTGATTTAACTGGCACCATGGGTACAGGAGTAACAAGACCAGCTGCCACCAACTGTCGAAACACTTCAGTGTATGATAAAGGAAGTTTGTTGAAATGTCGTCTCACTCTTTCTTGTTGTGGATGATTGATCCCAGAGGTATAGAGTGGTCTTGGCTGACTTGTAAAAATTGGTGGTTGATAAGTTGGAGCTTGGAAAGAATTATTGAATTGCCCTCGAGGGCGCGGCTGATTATTTCTCCCATACGTCTCATAAACTGAGCTAACGGTGCCAGTGTCATTTTCCTTCTTTCGATTCTGGCCCACTTTCCTTGAACTTGCAACCCCTGAACCACCATTTTGGTATTGTTCAAGGAGACTCTTCATTGCTTGATAATCAATAATAATCCCTGACTTGATTCCATCTTCCACTTGCTCTCCCACGATAACCAACTAAGTGAAAGTGTAATTTACACAAGTCATCAACTTTTCTCGATAAGGCCCTTTAGTTGACTTAATGAATAAATTACTCAGTTCGTGATCAGTTAGTGGCGGTTGAACTCGAGCAGCCAATCCACGCCATCTTTGAGCAAATTCCTTAAAGCTTTCACTCGATTTCTTCTCTGTTCTTTGAAGATCCTCTCTACTAGGAGCTAGTGATGTATTGTATTCATACTGCTTCATAAAATTGTAAGTCAAATCATGCCAACTTTTGACCTTACTTTTATCTATA